AAAAAAAAAAAAAGTACTAAATTAATTTAAAAAAAGAGAGGACGGATGTTATTCTTTTCATTTATGACGAGTTCGATATATGTTCCTTCGATGAGAGCAAGACGGTGACAAAATTTCAAATTTCTCTAAAAATTGCTTTTCCATTTTTAAATTCTTACATTTACCAGAAAATAATATGTAATACCTAATATTTTCTGAAAAAATATTCAGTTTAAATACAGAAGGAGTCATCAAAGGGCCGTAGATTTCGGTTTCTTACTCTTCCTGTTATTCAGGGGTTGTTGGCAGACGGAAATTAGCCCTTTCAACACAGATATCATTTTAATTCAAATTGTGTGTGTGTGTGTGTGTGTGTAAAAAAAAAAATGCACACCTGAATAAATTAAAAAAAAAAAACAACCATTTGCGCTTTATTCTTCTAAGATAGTAATTTAAAAATATATATATTTTTCTGTGTTCTTTTCCATTTTTGACATGCTTCTGACGCCGACATCCCTTAATTTAAAATATAAAAATGAGCAGCATTTTTACCATCGTGATGTACACAATTTTCAAATCAAAAGTCAACAACACAAGTGCGGGAAAACTTTTCTTAGCAAAATTTTGTAATCGTCTTTGTTTCATAAATGATAAGGTCTACTCACTGGCAATTATTTTATGTAGAATGTAGCCGAGTCAATAAAATATATAGAAAGTCTGAAAAGACATTTGTTGAATAAAAAAAAATACTTTAAAATATGATTCTGTTTATTACCAAATAATTACAGTAAAATCTTATCTGATTTATTTTAGGGTTTAATTTTTTTTTCTCCTTCTCCAACTTTAATTTTATTGCTCAGCCCAGTGTAGGAGTTTTCCAGACTGAGTGAAAGAAGAATATATTATTCAAGTGTATTATTTCAGACTCAATCAAATTGTGTGTGTGTAAATTAAATGGCACAAGTATATGTAAGTCACCCATGCACAACCCGGATATATGCATAATAACACAGAGTGTGTAACGGGCAGAAAATTTAGCTTTTCTTTAGTTTTTACAATAATAAATAATTTTTTTTATTACGTCTTTTTTTTTTAATTAACCTTTATTATAGAATAAGTTTGTCTTTATATCATGAGTGGAGAAAATGTCTGCTTCAGTGAAACTTCCGAATGTTACAAATAAATCTAAAGTTTACTTTTATACTGTATAGTATCATCAGATAAGGTAACTTTGATAGGTATTCAGCACTTTAGCTAAATTTCCTAGCTAACATTACATCCTATGGCCTTCATTTTTCTTAATTTCAATAGAACCCTGTTGTAGGTAATAATAATGGCTTCTGATTGGATCATAGACTACATATATTTTTTGATAACATTAATTGAAGTACAAGTTCAATGAGTTGTGTTGCTTATGGCCAACTCTTGATAACATTCTAATTTGTCCTGATCATATTAACATCATCTTGCTGGAATTGGATAGAAACCACAGGTTTTTGCAAATGTCCACCTGAATAAGATTTCTTGAAAAGACCCGTCATGCTTTCATCTGTTCTTCATTCTTCCAAGATATTAATTTAAAAAAAATTTTTTTTTTCCCCTCCATTTTTGACTTGTTTCTAGCAGCATTGATCATTGCAGTGCAAGCAATTTTCAATTCAAAAGTCAACATAGTTGCAGGAAACCATCTCTTAACAAAATTTTGTGGCCTTTCATTTATCAACACCAGAACCTTTTTTTTATAAATGATAAAGTCTTCTGCTCAATGGTAAATATTTAATATGGAACATAGCTAAGACAGTAAATATTCAATAAAAATTTCAGAAAGTCCTCAGGCAATTTTTTTTTTTTTTTTTTTTTTTAATAAAAAATGAATATCTTTTGAAAAAAAAAGAAGTGGTTTGCTATTTTGCTAAGTGGTTAGGATAGTTTTTTTTTTTTTTTTTTAAACATTTTCACGTTCAGTGTCAGTTTTATCAATGTTACCTTTTATCTGACAGAATATATTTTCAAATATATAAGGAAAGGTCTCTTTAAAAAATATTCAAATCCAACTATTATTTGTGAAATGTAATCTACATTACCTGATATTTTAATAGTTTATTTTATAAATATAATATGAACTGATTTATTTTTTGATAAAATTTGCTCTGATGGCATTTGCAAATCCATGAATATGGCTTTGCATGTATTCTAGGCAAAATGAAACCTCAATTTGAATTGTTGGGTGCAAAATGTAGGGAAAATATGATCTATATATCCATGCAAAAGGTGGGTAATCAAATGATAAAATCCTATGTCATGCATTTCAAAAGAACTTCAGGCTAAATGTCTTTATTGATGACCTACATAATAGTGGACGCTGAGGTCAATACCAAGCAACAGTCTATTTCATGTTGACTTCAGTGTCCATTGTTTTATTTTATATTTACATATGTTCTGTCTCTGATATTGAGCAATTTAACCCATAAATATAGCAATATATATATATATATATATATATATATATATATATGATCTGTCCATAGACAGAACCCAACTTAACCAACGTGGTGGTAGTGGACCCAGATGAATGAGTGTGGTTACACATCTACATATGTATGAGCATGTCTGACATCGGGGATGGCTGATCTGAAAAATGTCAAGACCACCCCTGCCTGTCCCTTGTTAAGAGAACATTGCTACATATGTAACACTACAATCTTGGCACCAAAATAGAATGACAATTGTGTATATATATATATATGTACTCAAATGCATGGGTGTGTGTAACTGCATCTAACCTCAGATTATTTATATGGATGTGTTTGTACAAACTAAAATGCATGCACTTGTATGTATGTGTGTCTGTGTATGTGAGAGTGTCATTTCAAACAAACACAAGAAAATTCCCCTCTGCACCACATACAAATAATCAAAAATAGATCCACTTTTGAAAAAATAAACCAGTTTGATGATCACAAAAGTGTGAAAGCCCAGGGTTACAAATTACTATCCATGCAACTTATAATAAAAAGAAAGAACAGTAAGATATATAATCTGGTGTTCTTATTGATATTTTTTATTTTTATACAAAACAGTTCTCAATGTAAATTTACAGATCATAAATATTATAAATTAACTGATTTAAAATATGGTTTCTTCACTACACAGTAATAACCGTGTTTCAGTTTTTAATTAAATAATTAAATTTGAAGTTTTTAGCTTTGGTTTTTGAAACATGGTTATTACTGTGTAGCGAAGAAACCATATTTTAAATCAGTTAATTTATAATATATAATACACATACACACACACACACAAACGGTTCAGCAAAAGTTACACCTTTTGTTTTTAATTTTTATTGAACAAAAATAAATTACAGTAGTTTAAAAAAAATTATAAGTATTGTCACATCAAAACAACATAATTAACAAACTATTTAACATGTTCAGAATGCTCCCCTCTATTTTTCAATAGAACACTGAACCTCATCAGCAACATTACTAGAAACCATTTGACACATTTCTATATTTAATTTCAGAAAATTTATCAGAAACTGCTTGTTTTGAGTCTGTAAACAAAATCTTTCAGTAAACCTAACAAGAGAAAAGTCTGGTGGTGTTTGGTCTGGTGATCGTGATGACCACACAATTGCTCCATGTTGTCCTATCCACCACAGCCTAGAAGAAAAAAAAGCCAATCATATGCCTTTGTTTAATGGCCCATGATAGTATAAATATGTATGATGCATATAATATCCCCTTTTTTATTTGATGATCATACAAAATTATGTGCTCTCTTCCAGAAACTGTATCTATGGTCTGCTCAACATAGTTGCAGTATAAACCAGAGGCTGGTTCAGTGGGTATTGAGCAGGTGTTTGCAACAGGAATTAGCTAGCCACCCTCATAGACTCCATAGTCTCCCGAGACTGATTGGTGCTTATTACTTACACACAAACACACACTAGTCTGAAGATTGTATTGAAGAGTGATAATATGCAGTGTTATATTCACATATAATGTCAGTAGCTCTTGATAAAGGTGAGTAACTTCTGCACACCCAGGTGTATGTACTCTTGTAGTATCTATGCCCCTTTGGTCATGTGTTGGGAAATGATTATGCAAAGGTTCAAATAGTTGGTGAGATATGGGTGGCAAGTGGATAAATGAGCCTAATGGTGAAACATGAATCACCTGGGAGTTCTTAATATCTATATTTTAAATACAATTTTATATTGCTCTACAGATGTACTTTTCTTTTTACCAAGTTAACTGAAAATTCCAGTGAAACAGTGTGGTTTTATCCTCAATTGTTTCAATAAACTAGTTTTCTTTTCTTATAATATTATTTGATATTGTTTAAGCCAGCTTCATGTAACCCCTGAATGTTTTTGCATGAATTTTAAACACCCTTCAGAAAAAAAAAAAATTATCTCTGTATAATGCAAATGGTCACCAAAAGTGCATGATTTTTAACCTCTTCAAAAACAAAAAAAAATTATCTATGTACAATCCAACCCCTTATTTTTTATGTAAAAAAAACTAATCATAAAAACTCACATTATATACAAGTAGTATATACAGTATTTATATAATATTTTCATTATAATTATTTATATTTTTCTTTTCTTATAATATTAATATTATACGTATATGCATGCTTAAACATGGTCAACCATTATTATGGTGAGAAGCTGTCCACTAAAAGTTTGTCAAAAAAGAATAAGTGCTCTTGCAAGACAATGTCTTCTAGATTTAGAAATACTCTATGTAAGTTTTTTGAGTTTTTTTTTTTTTTTTTTACTTGGCTCTAAATATTTGCTAAAATTATTGTTCTAAATTAATGCAGAAATAAAAGAAATATTTTACTAATAATCCAACCAAATATCATCACATTACTTATCTGGATCAATTGTTTTTTCAGGATTCCATTATTTTTCTCTCAAGAAGAACATTTGGACATCACGATTCCAGCTTCAAGCAACGTCATAATAAATCTGTCAAAATTTTCTGACACTCATCTTTCACTTAACCAAAATGGATCGACCTCCTGACATACCGATCTATGGCCCCATGTATGGTGTCTCCTTTCATCACCGGTTGCCCACACATAGTGATATTTCTGGAAAGCATTTTCCACAGGACCATAGCACAATGGAACCTGCACCCAGGATGCCGCACTTGGGCGGAAAGCAATACTCTCACCAGAGGATGGCTCCAATAGCCGAGAAATCCACTCACCACCATAGCAACAGTTCGGGAAAACACCTCCATCATAGGCATAGCACCTCGTCATCATCCTCATCGTCTCACATTTTGCAGAAAAATATACACAACTCTGGTGGTGGGGGTAAGCAGTATTCTCACGAATCGCAGAGAATGTCGCATCATAGTAGCAGCAGCAGCAGCAGCAATAATGAGAAAACCTCTCATCACAGTTCCACCATGTCTGGAAAGCAATTCCCTCATCATCACATGTCACTTGTTCCTGAAAAATCAATGACCCCAGAGAATATCCCTTCAAAACAGATGTCCTCCACATCCTCATCTCATCACAGGCCAGACTCTGCTGACAAGGAACACATGTCATCTGGTGACATTATCGATCGACCTGACAGTAATAGCAACAACAGTAACATTTCTGGAGGAAACCAGTTCTCCCCGCAGCAGTCCCCAGGGATGGAGTCCCCACCTCGTATTCCCTACCTTGGTCAGAACATGTTTCCTGGAAACATGTATGTCAACCAATACCAGCAGTCATCATGCTACATGCAGTCACCTTCGGAAAGATCACAGCTTCAGGAAAGTATTGATGGAGATATGGGAGAAATGTCGCCTGAAGAGGGGGCTCCACACAAGGGTTCTCCTTACAGCAGTGAGAAATCCTATCAAGGAGATCCCTTGGGGCAAAAGCAGTATTCTCAAAACAAGCCCATGCCACAGCCACAGAAGCAGCCACCCCAACGTCTGTATTGTGACTATTGTGGCAAGAAATTTGCGCAGGAATACCTTATGTATATGCACAGACGGAAACACACTGGAGAAAAACCGTTCCAGTGCGATGTCTGCAATAAACAATTCTCACGGAAGGATGTGATGCTGAGGCACAAGAAAAGTCATCATACTGGAACATATCCACAGATGTCTCCTGTCACCGACATGGGAAATTATCAACAGGAACCAACACCGCCCCAGCCACAACCACAATCACAGCCACAACCACAAAACTATCCCTCCATGATAAAGAAACCTTGCACCCCTGACAAGCTCTTTCAGTGTGACATCTGTAACAAGTACTTTGGCACTAAGAACTATTTAGAGATCCATAAGCGGACGCACACAGGGGAGAAGCCCTTCCAGTGCGATTTCTGCATCCAAAGGTTTGCTCGCCGTGACACTCTGATGATTCATCGCCGCACGCACACTGGCGAGATGCCATTTGAGTGTGATATTTGCATGGAGAGGTTTTCGCAGCGTGTCAAGCTGCAGATGCACCAGAAGAATGCACATGTGCCGAAGCAGAAACATCAGTGCGAGTTCTGCCTGAAGCAGTTTGCACAACGCTACTATCTGAAGATCCACCGCCGGCTCCATACAGGGGAGAAACTGTTGCAATGCGACATTTGTCTGAAGAAGTTCACGCAACGTCACTACTTGATCATTCATCGACGCACGCACACAGGAGAGAAGCCGTTCCAGTGTGACTTTTGCATTCAGAAGTTTGCTCGCAAGATGACATTACAGATCCACCGAAGGACACACACAGGAGAGAAGCCATTCCATTGCGAGGTGTGTGACAAGCGTTTTGCCCAAAGTGACAAACTGCGTGTGCATCGAAGGACACATGCGCCAAAAAGGCGCTACGAGTGCGACATATGCATGAAGCTCTTTGCCCAGCGGCATTACCTGCAAGTGCACCGAAGGTCCCACACCGGGGAGAAACCATTCCAGTGCGATGTCTGCTTCAAGCAGTTTGCCCAGAAGAACACTTTGCAGATCCACAAGAGGACTCACACCGGCGAGAAGCCCTTTGAGTGTGACATCTGCCTCAAACGCTTCGCCCACAGACACTATCTCCAATTGCACAAGCGAACACACACAGGTGAACGCCCATTTCAGTGTGATTTTTGCTTCAAGCAGTTCGCCCAGCGGAACTCCCTTGTGATCCACCGCAGGACCCACACGGGAGAGAAACCTTATCAGTGCGAGGTGTGTTTGAAGGCGTTTGCCCAGCGGCAGTATCTGCGGCTCCACAAGGTCACCCACACCGGTGAGAAAGCCTTCCACTGTGAGATCTGCTCCAAGCAGTTCGCCCGGAGTGACACGCTTCAGCGTCATCGCAGGACTCACTCGACACAACCCCAGAATGAGCCTAAGACTTCACAGAAAGCAGGCTCTGGTTCCAACACCGCCAAAGGCATAGAAGAATTCCCCCCCATGAGTAGCTACTTATGGCAGTTGTAATCAGATGAATGTGTTAAATCATCATGATTGATCGATTAACATTTTGGTTTTAGAGTCATTTATTTAATTATGGATTATCACTGCCAGATGTACTATATATATATATATATATATATATATAGATGTATGTATGTATGTGAACACACACACATACACTTTTGTAATTTATACAAGGGTTGTACTGAAAAGTTCCCAGCCCAACCAAGAAGCCCCTCCTAGAAATTTCTGATTTTCAGTCATTTGGTTATATTTTGGAGAATTGATCAAGCCAGGGTTATTTTGATATCCCCCTTTTATTTATGCATTCATGCATGTGAGGGGATGGTGAAAAGTTTTCTGTTTAACCTGCTTCCCAGAATATTACAAAATGACCCCAAAAAATTTTTTTTTTTTTTTTTGTTTAGAGGCTTTGTGATTGGGTTGAAAACTTTTCTGTCCTTTTTTTTTTTTTTGTGTGTGTGTGTGTGTGTGTGTATCAAATAAATAATATACTTACACACACAAGCATGTTTACATTGAGGGGCTGCTGAAAAGTCCTCAGACTGACCAAAAAGCTGTCAAAAAATCTTGTTTTGTAATTTGGTCAGAAATGTTTTTGCCTGAAAATTTATCAGCACCTACATATTGATAGTTTTTATTTCTCGAGGGAAAAACTATCTGTAAACTGTGTGTTTGCCTTTATGTTGTGATCGAAAAGTTTTATGAACCTGTTGAATTTTATGGCATTTGAAAAGTATGACAAATTGGCTGGGGTTTAATTTTAGATAGGTTATTACAGTGGGGTATGGGTAGCATAACAATTAAACTAAATAGGGCAAACTGGAATCTCTAGCTATGATTGGTAACCAGTCTAATGGAAAGCCAAGTCTGAAATGTAGTGGGTAGAGCAACCCCACTTCATAGAATCTACTTGCAAAATTTGATTGACACACAAACTGAATTGAAAGGCCAATTGAATCCAGAATATGTCGCTGGGAGGAGGTGCTAAATAGCTTTTGGCCCAGCCCACTTTTCAAAATATTAAAGCTGTTTTTTTTTTTGTTTTTTTTCCCCTTCTTCCTAAGGTCTTCTTGGTTGGGCTGGGAATTTTTCAGCATTCCATTTATGTTCAATCTTACAAAGCTTTATTGATGTCACACACTTCACTCAGGTGCAGTAAAAATGTCTGCACTTGAAGCATATGCACTTGCGCATTGAATACATGGCTTGACAAGTGTTTACTAGGCTCACAGTCCTGAAAGTAGATGACAACTTAAATAAAACCATTAAAAAAAAAAATAAGCCTAATTGACTAAAAGGATGATGCAGTCTCGTAGCAGTATTTTAAGTTTTAAGTTCACCTCGGGTTTCATTTTACAATTGCATCACCATAATTGAACTATTGTTACTCATTTATCTCTCATTAATTTTAATTAGGTTGAATATAATTTCTTAGCGAAGGTGGATCTAGCACATGAATAGGTGAGGTTATCTTATTTAAATTATTAATTATCATTCTAAGGTTTTTGTTTGAATTCATTCTTTGCCACCATAATCATCAGCAATGTACATGTGTTTTTATCAATTCCATGTAGGTTTATTCAAGTCTTCATTTATCTATAGCTGCAATCAAATAGCACCAACATTTGAAATGTTGGTTGTGCTTGAAACTGGTTATTCATAAAGTTGACCTTCAACTTTAACCTTCATTGAAAATATCATTGATGTGTAAAAAGTTATTTTTAGAGCTGGACAAAGCTTCTTTTTTATTTTTTTTAAATACACAAAATTTAGAGTAAGTACATCTGGTGGTTTAAATAGTTTAAACAAAAATTGTTTTACCTTTTATAAGTGGAACAAATCTCTTTGTACAAGTAGGTGGGAGGAATGGGGGGAAATTCTTTTGATCCAACCCGCAACTTGAAAAAATCTGACCAGATCATCAATCCAGCTACTGATTCTGGGAAATGGGTTGGGCCAAGAACTTTTCAGCATATACTTATATCCTGTACAAGAGAGAAACTTAAACAACTACTTTGTGTCTATTTATTACTAATCAAACACATGGATCTTTTTAGTGGGAGTGGGGCTTTTATTTTTCAATTTTAAAAGTTTCTGAAGTCATTCAAATCTCAACTCAGTTTATGAATTATCCACACAAGTTAACCCTTCCATGCTGTATAGATTCCACTGAGATTATTCTCAGGCTATTGGTGGTGGCATTTTTTTTTTTTTTTTTTCATAAATGGCTTTGGTTGTTTCCATGGGAACTGAATGCAACGAAATATCTATATCATATTTTATTGTTCCATCTGAAAAGCGTTAAATTAACCAGGGCAGCTTTTTGATCACAATCTGGTTGTGTGTGTGTGTGTATATATATATATATATATAGGAAATCTACAATTAGCTTGGTTAATATTTTCAAATTCATCATGCACTTCAAATTAATTCAAATTAATTAAAAAATTAAAGATTATTTTTTTAGACAGGTTTTAATACATAAAATAGTTTTAAAAAAAATTTAAAAATGTTGTTTATTTCAAAGTGTGGATCGATGACTGCTTACCTGTCAGGGGCCAGTTTTCACATATTACTCTTTCTATCGAGCTTCTTTTGGGTGATTTCTTTCATCAGAATATCAAGTTTCAAATAAAATTTCAACTGATTTCTTTTCTGCCGTGACTTAACTCTTATAGAAATTTTAATGTACAAACAACATTTTATAGAGAATTTATAAAATTAAATAAACCCTGGGGAGAGTGAATGGCTTAAAAATATCACCACAAATTAATAAATCTTTTCATAAAGGATATATATGCATAAATTTAATACACAGTTAAATTATGTGAACCCATCAAGAATTATACACACATACATAGCAATACAATTTACACTTAACGGCTACCCAACTAATGAAAACAAAACAATGTAGAATTTAATAATTGAAATAAATCCATATTCACTAATAAAGATTTCTGATGGGACTAAATTAATAATAAAATGTGCTCAATTTACAGAGGTTTTCCGAGCTGTTAATCATTTAACTGTTTTAATCCAGAAACTCAACTCTTAACAGAATAAGTGCATATGATCTTATTAAAATCAGATAAAGTGGTTGTTTTTGGAAGATTTTTAAAACCTTATTGTAGTTGCAGGCAGGTGTTGCCAAAATTGCAAACATTTATGTGTCATAGGTCCCTATTATAAGTACAATGGAAGATTTATTTTATTGCAAAATAATTCTGAATAAGATTTGTAATTACTGTGCTAAACATATTTTGGAGTGCACTTGCAATTTTTTTAATCAAAACCAAGTCAGTCAAGGGTTTCCTATATATATATATATATATATATATATATATATATATATAATTAAATAATGGGGCCTGCTTTGTGGCTCAGGTGGTTATCTCTATCCTTTTAGTTCATGTCGATATAAAACCAAAAATTTCAGGTGCTGATTTCCCCCCAAAAAACAAACAGGTTTTCCTTAGTTGGAAGATTGACAATCTTTCTATTCTGTATATTCCTCCTTCCGTTTGGCCTAGTCCCAAACTAAACTGTTTTTTGGGGACATAAAAGTGTATTGTTTTGTTCATTTATGAAATCATGTTGGCACTCTTTAAATATGTTTTAGACATGTACCTACACAATCAATATGAATTGGTCATCTAAATTTGAAGCTAATAATTATGAGAGGATATTTATTATTAAATCCCTAAGACTACATCAAAGCTGAACTGATCTCAAACAAATGCCTGTCAGGTAAAGTCCTTCCATTTAAATTCAAGTTTAGTTGATCTTTGCCATCATCCCAAATTTAAGTGGTTGGTGGATTAACCTTTCATGTCAGATTCATACACAGCTTTACTCATTACAAAAAGACAATGAGCTACATTCCTACTCTAAAGGTTGGGGCCCAACTGAACAGAACTTTTTATTTTTTTTAACACATGTTCAATACTCTTTCTCTCTGCATAAAATTCAAACTATCATGTCCTGAAATAAATATTTTGAAACTATGAAATAAGAGAAAAATAAAACCCACTAGTTTAAAGCACTTATTACATTTAATATTAGTTCCTTCCTGCTTAGTCCTAGGTATGACCATAGACTATATTTGGCAGTAAGACCTCTGATCAGGAGATTGGAGGTTTTGAGTAGCACCGAACAACTTCAATTACTATTGTTCCCAGGCTGATAGCACCTATCAAGGTACCAGATATGTGCAAATAGTGAACCTCCCAAACAAAAAATTCTATGAAAGTGTAAAAATACTAGCAATACATTTTGTATAAAAAAAAGATCAACAATACATTTTATCTGTAGTTGAAGCCATAAAATTGCATTCAAATTATTTAAATTTTGCCATTAAATAACCAATAGAGGTTTTGGTATGCCACCATGATCCTAATCCATATAATAGCCTACAATTTCTTAAAGTGTATTCCAAAATATAACTTAAAATAAACATCACAACCTCTAGTAATTATGCCCACACAAATATGTATATGCACAAAAGCTGAGTATCATCTACCATGTATTCAATTGTGAAAGCAGAATAACATATTTTTATTACTTCAAAGCTGCCAAGAATATTAAATTTTGGCATTAAATGACACATAAGGAGATGATATGCCATTAAAAAAATCAACCAATCCTTCCTGCTGGTTGTGTTCTGATGGGCATTTGTTTGGACCAAGACTCTTCTGTTAATTCGGGTACCGTCGTCATCCAAAGGTGGTTTCATTCTACAACCTTCTTGGTCTTTTCAGAACCAATGCTGAGCTCTACTTTAAGCAGCAGATCTATGATCCTATATTTTTTGATCAGCATTTATGGCCAAGTTGTAGGAGAAAATCAAATAAAACTTGCTCCCTTTCAATAAGTAGTTACTCAATATACAGCTTTTAAATAGGTTTTTATTAAAAATAGACAAATTTCTAGATGACTTAATATGCATGTAGATTTGAAAAAAAAAAAAAAACATGCTTTTACTGAAGTAGAAACTGCAAGGG